TATGTTACTACAAATCACCAACATACTAGTTCTCCTTTAGTTTTATATGTTTTAGCTATTCTCCATAACAACTCCACAATGTTTAAATTTTGATAGTTTCTTAACATATGCTAAAAAGAACATTTTAATATCCTGCAACATCCAGAATTATATTAACAATCCTGTTTATTTCAGCATAAAATGTGATAGCCCAATGAGAGTAGCCAATACTTAAAGATTTATTAACTTCATTTTAAGGTCATAAGAAATGGATTAAATATTCTTTAAAGTGATCATCTACTGGTGGGATTGGACATTCAAAATCATAATTCCAGAGGTCATGTAAGTAACTAATCTCAATTTCAATTCATTACATCATCTTCAACTTCTTTAAACAAGAAAAGTTACTAATTTTGAAGCGAGGGTTAGTTCTTCCTAAAGTATCCACCACTGTGGAATTTCAGAAACAGTGACAACATCTGGATAAAATAATTCAAATAGTAAATGCTTAAATTGAATAAACTACCAAAAAGCACCATAAGATAAATTGGCATTGTTTTTAAAAAAGATTTTCTCAGAATTGAGTTGATCCAACATAATCATGTTGAGAAAAGTCCAGTTTACTAAAGAAAAAAAGAAAAAGAAAAAGTTTTTAAATGGGAATTTAATTTTCATAGCTGTGCCATCCTGAGTGTCTATTTATGGACAAGGACTTGTTTCATTTTTTTACCCTGATTGCTGTATTTGTAAATTGTTCCTCTTAATTTCTGATTTCTTTCTTTCTTTTTCTTACTTTTGTTTCCTATGATTATTTGGTATCTTTCTGCACTGAAGTGTTTAGTTTTTTTGATAACCTATTTGCATAGATTTTGATAATCTATGCAAAATCTTCCAGTGCAGGCTGAAAATTAATGGTCTTTGATCATTGCTCCAGGAAGTTGTGTATTAATAATCCTCAGCATGAATGTAGCTGATTTTCAATAAGCACCCTATATATCTTTTTTTTTAATGTAAGGTAGACCTTTGTACATATTTCCAATTATAGAAAGAGTTAGTGGTTAAGTTCACATATTGTGCACAGCCAAAATATAGTTTATCGGGTTTTGATATAGCATGTTATGAAACATGCTGTGCAACCTATTTATAGGCCATTATGACCTATACATTATTTATTTATAATAAACTAGCTGAGATTTATTCAGTGCAACATGCTTAAACAAATCATGGCTTAATGAAATGTGAGAATCATTGCAAAGTGCACGCTCAGCGAACTGGTTGTTACACCGGTTGAATCCCACCACTGGATATGAACCTGAATCTGAACAGGACTTAAGTTCAGCTGACTGTAGTTCTTGAAATGTTTAGAAGGACTCTTTAATAGTACTTTGCCATAAATTTTGTCCAATATTGGAAGAAACATACAACATCAACAATATCTGATTGGAAATTCAAACCTGAATAGATATGCAGCAATGGCAAAATTAACAGCATACATCCAGAAGTAAAATTATACTAAATATAAGGCAGCACGCAAACAACAAAACAAAAGAAAAAAACCCAAGCAATGACAATAATGGTTTCTTGTTGTTGTTAGTCGCCAAGTCGTGTCTGACCCATCGCGACCCCATGGACAATGTTCCTCCAGGCCTTCCTGTCCTCTACCATCCCCCGTAGTCCATTTAAGCTCACACTGACTGCTTCCGTGACTCCATCCATCCACCTCATTCTCTGTCATCCCGTTCTTTTTTTGCCCTCAATCATTCCCAGCATTAGGCTCTTCTCCAGTGAGTCCTTCCTTCTCATTAGGTGGCCAAAGTATTTTGAGTTTCATCGTCAGGATCTGGCCTTCTAGAAAGAAGTCAGGGTTCATCTCCTCTAGGACTGACGGTTTGATTACCTTGCAGTCCAAGGGACTCACAGGAGTCTTCTCCAGCACTATAGCTCAATTCTTTGGCGCTCAGCCTTCCTTATGGTTTCTGAGACAGTCTAAATGTTTATAAATACTGAAAATTAGTTGGAATATAAAGAAAGGGGAAGTTATTTGTTTTTCAAAGTTGCTTTTTATATTTATTTTTTAATTTTTGTTTGTTTTTTCTTTATTTATAAACAAATATAAATAGCATTATGATTTATTAGGAAAACTAGTTTCATGTATTGGTTAATACATCAGACTAGAAATTAGGAGACTGGGAATCCCATTTTAGACATTATATTTTTTTGAAAAGTTAGAAAATACAGTACTGTAGATCCAAATCATTACTTGCTAGAGGCAAAGAATAAAATAGTTCCTTTTCATTTAAAAACATCAACTGAAATGACCATTAAATTTTAGTTCAGTCCTTATGCTGGGACAACATTTAGTGCTCATAGAAAAATAGCTCAATAGTTCAGAGACTGCACAGCAAGCTTAAAAGTACCTTTAACTGTGTCTTATTAATCTTATTGCTGCCTCTCAGGATCAATTGTACCAAATTATAGGGTCTGTCTTGCTAGTAACTTTTAGAAGTACAGTCTCTTCATTTTATTTCTAGAACTCATTGAGATGACACCATTCAACAGCTATTTCAATTATATTAGTCAAGATTTTCTTGCATTTTCAGGATAACGGTAGTTGGTTTATTGATTGGATGGCTCATTAAAAACTTCTAAAAACTCAGGAGTTGGTGGCAAAAAGAATAATGTAGAAGCATTAATAAGACATAATTATTCATAATATATTAAAACTCAAGTATCATGTACAAGCCTTTTTTTTTTATCCTCTTTGGTGGAAATTTTGAAATGCTATAACTGATTGATATTCAATTGAGCAATTGATCCATACTTTCATACTTATAAAATTCAAATTAATGCACATACTAGAGTGATAGTTAATTTGAATTATCTTCCTAAAAAAAGTAGCACAACAAAATGCTTTACGCCATATGAAGAGTTCAAGCCATGAGTAATTTATTACTATCTTAATTAAGTTCTAAAGAATTAAGCTTGGGAAATTGTTTATAAGATTTGCATGTGATGAATTCATTTATTGTTCATTTATAATAGTTCATAACAAGCTTTATATAACTTTTTGTCCTGTTGCAGCTTGTATTGTTAGATTGGGTAATTCTAAAGTGGCCAAGATGCCAGTCTTAAATATGAAAAACAGTCATAAGTCACTTTTTTCAGTGCCATTGTTTTAAGAACTTGGAGCCATTTCTAAAGGATTTCTTTAAGTATAACTTGGCCGTCATTTCCCTTCAGCCCACTTCTGCTTTAAAGAATCTTCTTTAAAGCAAAAGTGGGCCGAAGGGAAATGATGGTCTCTTAATCTATCCCTGAGAGATCTGCAGTGGATTAATAACCAACAACAAACTGTAACAGTGACAAGAATGCTACTCTTCTATCTAAATTAGGCTGTGGAAATGAAGAAGGCTTGTGATACTCCTAACATTACTGAAATGATTTTACTTTTTCATTTTATCTTAAAAATACCACATAGGGTGTAAGAACCTTCTTTGTTCCATACTCTTGGATTAGGGCAAGACATTAGGTGAGGTGCCCCAAAGAAGATGTATAGTAGCAGCAAGAATGCATATCTGTGTCCCCCCCCCAATTCAGAGGTGGGGCCCTGAAGTGACGACCCAGAAGGTTTTTGGGTGAGGGCAGGAGATTTGAAACCTCCAGCTTTCTACATGCTAGATACGCTGTTTTCTACATCCTGTAATTCCCCGCTCCCAAATCTAAGCAAGGTAAAAGTAGCTAAGTTTATGTGGTTGTTAAATGGAAGCCAGAATTTTTCAGGGAAGAGATATCAATTGAGTCAAGAATAAACTTCAAGGCCAAGAGGTAGAGTAAATTTACCACTTTATAATGCCTTGGTAAGGCCACACTTGGAATACTGCATCCAGTTTTGGTCGCCATGATGTAAAAAAGATGTTGAGACTCTAGAAAGAGTGCAGAGAAGTGCAACAAAGATGATTAGAGAACTGGAGGCTAAAACATATAAAGAACGGTTGCTGGAATTGGGTATGTCTAGTTTAATGAAAACAAGAACTAGGGTAACATGATAGCAGTGTTCCAATATCTCAGGGGTTGCCACCAAGAAGAGGGAGTCAAGCTATTCTCCAAAGCACCTGAGGGCAGGACAAGAAGCAATAGGTGGAAACTAATCAAGGAGAGAAGCAACTTAGAACTAAGGAGAAATTTCCTGACAGTTAGAACAATTAATCAGTAGAACAACTTGCCTCCAGAGGTTGTAAATGCTCCAACACTGGAAGTTTTTAAGAAGATATTGGATAACCATTTGTCTGAAGTGCTATAGGGATTTCTGCTTGAGGGGGTTGAACTAGAAGACCTCCAGGGTCCCTTCCAACTCTGTTATTCTATTCTATTCTATTCTATTCTATTCTATTCTATTCTATTCTATTCTATTCTATTCTATTCTATTCTATTCTAGAAATTTTTATTTAGGTTGTATCTATTCTGAAAGCTGTATAAAAGTATAGTTATCTGAGACGTATATCAGGAACTCTTCAAGTAACTAGATAAATTACATATGTTTTCTTAAAAATAATCATCATATAGTACATTATTATTTAAGAAAAACAACCTGAAGTCTTAGTCTTAGTAAAGTGTGCTTACAATAGTCACTTAGTTATGTCAGCTTACAAGTCCACTCAAATCCACAATAAACACTGAAGAATTGATAACATGGTATTTTCAGACAGGGCTTACTCCCCGCTCTGTTAAAAACAATTTTAATGTAAAATAGAACAGATTTGGTGAGCTAACAAATCCTGCAAAATGCTTGTGTTATTTCACTATGCTGAATTATTTCAAAGCAATTAAGGAGGCAACCCCGGGGCATATTGCAATTTTGAGGTATCCTCTACCTGAAAATCCTGATGAGATGTGCCTTCTATCTCTGAAATATGAAATTTTAAAATGTGTAAGATTAATTACTGCATTATTTCACCAAAAATGCTCTTTCTCTCTTTTCATTTCTATTCTTTCTTTTCTCTTCTCTGTTATCTGATTTTCAGCAAAGACCAATCAAGCAATCTTTGAGTTCTTCACTGTGCAGAGAATCTCACTGGAAGTGTCTCCTTCTCTCAATTCTGATATATAGTTGCCTGGGGGCTATAGCTTGGTGCCAACTCACACAAGTCACTAAGCTCAGTTTTGATAGTTCCTTCAAAGGCAAGTCTATGATTTACCATGACAGTCCTTGCTCAGATGGCTATGTGTATATTCCATTAGCATTCCTTGTTATTCTTTATGTGGTCTACTTGGTGGAGTGTTGGCACTGCCGCACCAAAAGTGAACTTCAATACAAAGCTGATGTGGAAAGTGTCTATGATCGAATTGCCAGAATGAAACAGGCCACACCATGTATATGGTGGAAAGCCATAAGCTACCACTTTGTCCGACGGACAAGGCAGGTGACTCGGTATCGCAATGGTGACGCTTATACAACAACTCAGGTTTACCATGAGAGAGTCAATACCCATGTGGCTGAAGCAGAGTTTGATTACTCCCACTGTGGATTCAAAGACATATCTAAGGAACTCATGGGCCTGGAATGGTATTCCACCACAAGACTAAAGTTTACGAAATGTTTCAGTTTTGCCAACATGGAATCTGAGAACTCTTACTTGGCACAGAGAGCCCATTTCTTCACAGAAATAGAAGGCCTAGATGATTACATGGAGATCAGAGAAGGCATGAAACTCAAAAATATAGACTTCAAAGAAGTAATGATGGCTTATGGAGACCCAGAACATCTTCCCTGGTACGTATCCCATTATGCTTTCTGGGTGGCTGCTTTGATGATGATTTCATGGCCACTGAGAGTCTTCATGGAATATCAGACTGCGCATGTACACTACCATGTGGAGAAACTTGTTGGCGTGGAGTACAGTGTGCCTTCTGTGGCAGAGGAGCCCCTCTACAGATACCGAATCCCCAGGGTAAGCACTCAGGACAGCACTGAGCTTGAGTGGCACATCTGCACCAATCGCCAGCTGATTCCCAGCTATTCCGAGGCTATGCTTCTGAACCTGACCCATTCTCCCGTATGCAACAGTTACTCGATTCGCAGATACAGTGAAATTACTCATGGCTGTGAGACTTGCCGTCATGCCTCCAGTACCTCCTCTATCTTTTCCCACCACAATGGCAGTGCAAACTCACAGCTCTCTCTGAACACTAGCCGCTTCTCCTTATGCCAACTTCATGGCTCTCACAGGACAGGACTCTGGAGAAGTCACAGCAGCAGCATCACTGACCGTGGTTGCCAGGATGACCAATGCTGCTCCCACTCTAGCCAACTGGTCATCAACGAAAACCCACCCACTTACCAAGAAGCTCGTTTTTTCCCAGTACTAATTGTGCATAGGTCAGAGGGTCAGGAAAGGAGGCACTTCTGTCTCCGCCGTGCTTCCTGCCTGGAGACCTCGCTCTGACTTCCCATTAAGAGAGTTTTAAGGGCGACTACTTATTTGCCAATAACAGCAATACATACAACATAAACTCATTCAAGTCTCAATTGTCCATTTCTCCAAAAAAAAGAGAGACTTATTCATGTAGAAATCTAAGAAAAGTCAACTCTGAATCTAAGGGTCTCAATAAATACTGTAGGTTAGTTAGGATGTTATCATGATATGATTGCTTCTTCAGGGATTTTTACAGTTTATAGGGTTTTATCCCCCTTTAATCTAAAACTCATGGTTAGGGTAAGAGAAATTTCTAAGGCTATCTTGTGAACTTTACTGAATTCAGGCCTCCCCTGAAAAGCTCCATAAACCTCGACTCCTATGCCATACTAACCTGGTTCCTGTGTATGCTACATGGTGATAAGAGCCAGATTCCTGATTTTATTATCTAATTTTAAAATAAAAAAGTATTGTGTGTCCTGCAGAAGACATAATAAAAATGGTTATCCCTAAAATCATTCCATAACTTCTCTCTGCTATTTGCTTCATTTCACTTTTCTTCTAAAACATCTCTGTCTCTCTCTCTTTCTCTCTCTCTCTTTTGTCAAACAGATAGGAACACACTTTGCTTCCTCTCCTACTTTAAACTATTAAGAAAATATGTGGAAACATGTGACACGCAAAGTCCCTATCTTAAATCCAGGTGTTAGCAGTCTATAGGACAAAGCTAGTTGGGTGACTTTGGGCCATTACAGGTAATCCTTGACTTACGACTACAATTGAGCCCAACTTCTGTTGCTAAGTGAGACATTTGTTAAGTGAATTTTGTCCCATTTTGACTTTTCTCACCACAGTTGTTAAGGGAATCACTGCAGTTGTTACCTTAGTAACACAGTTGTTAAGTGAATCTGGCTTCCCCATTGCTTTTGCTTGTCAGAAGATTGCAAAAGGAGATCATATATGACTCCAGGACATTGCAACTGTCATAAAATGTCTGAATTTTGATCATGTGACTATGAGAATGCCATAAGTGTGAAAAATGGCCTTTAATCAATTTTTTTTCAGTATTGTTGCAATTTCAAACGGTCACTAAATAAGCAGTTGTAAGTCAAGGACTATACTTTCTCTCAGCCCTAGAAAAGAGGCAGTGGCAAATCACTTCTGAAAACCTGTGCCAAGAGAATTGCAGGGACTTCTCCAGGCAGTTTGAGGATTGGAGACGAATGAATGAAAGGGGGGGGGAAGTTAGGTTCATGAATATTTACATATTTACAAGTGTGTGTGGGGGGGTGGGAGGGAGGGAGGGAGAGAGAGAGAGAGAGAGAGAGAGAGGTGTCTTAAAAGACAGATGTCTTAAGAGAAGTACTTAGAAGAGACTCTATTTCACTTCCCACCTTACCCCATGCTCATAACAAGTGGTTTAGAAGTCAACAATCTAATCCTCTCCAGATGTTTTTTTATAACACCTATTGACAGTACAGTCAGTGATAAAGGATTTCAGTTATGAAACTTAGGAAGTCACTAAATTCTTACTTCTAGCTTTCACCAACCTGATGTCCAGTATATATATTGTACAATTGTAAGAGTTCTACTCCAACACAATGCACCAAATTGTGTAGAATGCTATCTCAGTATCACCACTGAATAGCACATCTAATTTAATTCTTCTCATTTCTTCAAATGTTCCAAAGCCTGAAATACGGGGTGGAGGTGGGAATAGGAAAATGCCTTATTTGCTATTTCCACTATGCAAGGAAAAGAAGCAAAAGATGTGAGCTGAGAGATTTAATAAGATCTTTCTCTGGTTCATCACAGGTGTGTCTGCCATTTCTCACTAACATTCTCTTCATTCCTCTCCTTTTACCAAAATGTGCTTTGACTTTTATTTATTTCCCCCCCCCCCCCAATAAGTCCCTTACCATCTTTTTTCAGTTCTTTATCCTCCCTCTGTTGGCTTTCATTTTAGCCAATTTTCCAAGGTGAGTCCAAGTATTATCCATCTTCATTTTTTAAAAAAAATTTTTTTTTGCAATATACTGTAGTCTGCTGATGCTGATGAAGTATATTTCTCTCCCACACAGTTTTAACAGGGCATCTTTCCAGAGAGGTAAATAGTATGCTTTAGTACCATTGGCTGAAGCAATGATTTCCACTGCTGCACATCCAGTCCTGTGCTTTTCATAAAGAGCAGTCCCAAAATGGACGTTTTTACAGTACATGCCAATTATTTGCTTAACATACAAAGGAGCTTGAGAAAATATAAGGTTCTATTAAAATAGGCTTCAAGAGAATGGCAGAACAAAAAAGGCATTTTTGTCTCACTGATGAGAGTCTATTTTTATGTTTTTAATATATTTCTACTGAGCAAAAGGATTCTTTGGTCTGCTCACATATTCTTAACAGTCTGTACATCTTGCAGGTACCCTTACAACCAAGGTGTCCACCTTCCTCCCTTTTTCCTCAGGTAAAATTATACTCTCAGTAGCTTCACATCAGCAGTCTGTGGACATGGAAAAAACAACAACACACACACACATATATATATGCACACATATTGAAGAATCTTCAGAAGGAATATGGGTGTGGGCTGCATGTGTCGATGATTCCTGAATTGCAACAGACTGCCAAATTGTATTATTGTCTTTTATAAACACCAGTGCATATGTCAGTGTAAAGAAAATAAATTATTAACAACGTTGAATTTAAAAAATCATCTTCAGCCTAGCATTCCCTCAGAGGTATTGGCTAGTGGCCAACATGCTGACAACAAAATGGAATCTGTGGCCTCATGATTTAAGAATGAAAAAAAGCATGAGTTAGGGACTAAGCCTACACTGCCTTTTATTTAGTCATATGTTGAAATATGTGTGAATACATAGCAGGTGTGAATATGTGTGAATACCTTAGCAGGTAGCAACATTTTTCGGACTTCTGAAGCTAAGCAGAGTCAGGCCTCATTAGTATTTGGATAGCAGACTACATGGGATCCCAAGGCTATAGGTCTCATTGGGAAGTGAAATAATATCCTACAAAGAAGGCAGTAACAAAACATCATTTTTATAACATTGCCAAAAAACCACAACCCTGCATGAACATGCCTATGAAATTACTTAAGGTCAGCTCTCTCTCACCCTTTATTATACACAGACTTATCTCGCACCTGTATAATTGTTTCTGACCGCAGTGACTGTTTACCATCCGAAATATAAATCTTTTATAAATTTTAATATGTATATTTTATTGGCGATACAGAAATTAATTTTCACTATGCATATTGACTGGATGTACAAGAAGATCACTGCTTTTAGTGGAGAATATCTTTTTAGCTTTCTTGCTTTACTGGTAATTAAATGGGTAGAAGTATTTTGCTGCTGCGATTGTTATAAAAACTGGTGCTCCTAATGGGCACACTGTGTGTGTGTGTGTTTTGCATAGCAAAATGGTGAGGGGGACAATACTGGAACCCAGAACTAATAAATAGCATTAAGTGAATGCATTTTCCAGGACTTCAGATATACTTCAGAAACTTAGCAATATAGTTTTTTTAAAAAAACAATTAATTGATTTAACATCTTTATTTTATCTTTATAAGACATTGATGTTGTGCAGAGACATTCACAGCAACTGTCAGACTGGAAAACACAACCAGGCATGCAAAGTCCTACTCCTCTTTTATATGCATGCAAAACACATTAAAAAGGGGCGGGGCTTTGGTCACCCAGTCACACCCATAATTTTCGAGCCAGTGCCCATTGCTGCTGATGCCTATGGTGGTATGCTAAATGACCTACATTTGCTGCTATCTGGTAGTCAGTCTGAATTTACCTAACAAAAGCACAATTGAATTCACTGGAACTTTATCATGTTGCCTTAACGATCTTCATTCCTTTTTAAATCCTTTAAGAGATTCATATAGGAGAACTGAAATTTTGATTCATGACTATAGCCCACCCACCCCGCATGTCACTCCTTACTGTCTTTACAGCAGAGCTCAGAAAAATGTGTGGGCAGCTCTAATCTAATCAGCTCATGGAAAGCATGCAAAACCCGGAAACCAAAAAACGTTACACTCTGAGGTACATGCTACAGCAGATACAGAGCTTTTTACCAAACACCAGTGAATTACCCAGTTCCTAGAATGTGTAAATCTATCATGTGACAATAATAGACAGGGTAGAACATCGAGGCTGCAGTCACCAACCTTAAAACAAGCAGTATTTATAACATCAAGAGAAAGCTTATGAATTCTTTAGAACTATCTATCATTCTGATATGCTGTGACATACAGTAGGTCTGCTCAAAGCTTCCTCTCTAAATTCTATCAGTGGATAAAGAGATGCTGGTTAAACAAACAACCTTTATGGAACACACTGAGCTAACATAACATTTATTCAAGGGGATACATGGGGAACTCATTAAATTTGCAGATGACACCAAGCTGGCAGGAATATCCAACACTCCAGAAGATAGGCTCAAGATACAGAAGGATCTTGACAGACTTGAACATTGGGCGCTATCTAACAAAATGAAATCCAACAGGGAAAAAAATAAGGTTCTACATTTAGGGAAGAAAAACAAAATGCACAGGTACCATATATGTGGTACCTTGCTCAATAGTAGTAACTGTGACAAGGTTCTTGGAGTCCTAGTGGACAACCATTTAGATATGAGCCAGCAGTGTGCAGCAGCTGCCAAAAAAGCCAAGACAGTTCTGGGCTGCATAAACAGAGGGATAGAATCAAGATCACATGAAGTGTTAATACCACTTTATAATGCCTTGGTAAGGCCACACTTGGAATATTGCATTCAGTTTTGGTCACCACGATGTAAAAAAGATGTTAAGACTCTAAAAAGAGTGCAGAGAAGAGCAACAAAGATGATTAGGGGACTGGAGGCTAAAACATATGAAGAACGGTTACAGGAACTGGGTATGTCTAGTTTAATAAAAAAGAAGGACTAGGGGAGACATGATAATAATAATAATAATAATAATAATAATAATAATAATAATAATAATTTTATTTCTATACCGCCCTTCTCCCGAAGGACTCAGGGCGGTGTACAGCCAATTTAAAAACACAGGACACAACAATAATTAAAAATTAAAATAATTAAATAGATTTAGCCGATTTAAAACCCCAAAAATTTAAAATACCCCAATTTAAAATTATTATGTTGATAGCCCTGCCTGGCAGAACAACAGGGTCTTCAGTGCACAGCGAAACACCCGGAGGTCGGAGATCTTACGTATTTCCGGGGGCAGTTCATTCCACAGGGCTGGGGCTCCCACAGAGAAGGCCGATAGCAGTGTTTCAATATCTCAGGGGTTGCCACAAAGAAGAGGGAGTCAAACTATTCTTCAAAGCACCTGAGGGTAGAACAAGAAGCAATAGGTGGAAACTAATCAAGGAGAGAAGCAACTTAGAACTAAGGACGAATTTCCTGACAGTTAGAACAGTTAATAAGTGGAACAACTTGCCTCCAGAAGTTGTGAATGCTCCAACACTGGAAA